CTAATTTTTTTTTTTTACATTTAATTTTGAGACAGAGAGAGAGACAGAGCACAAGCAGGGGAGGGGCAGAGAGTAAAGGAGACACCGAATCTCAAGCAGACTCCAGGCTCAGAGCTGTCAGCACAGAGCCCAACTCAAGGCTTAAACTCATAAACCGTGAGACCATGACCTGAGCCGAAGTCAGCTCAACTCACTGAACCGCCCCGGTGCTCCAAGAATTAACGTTCTACATTCAGCCTTGATATCATCACATATAAGAATTTTGGTGACATTATTAGTGTTCAGTAATATCTGTTCTCCTTTATTCCTGGCAAGAGGAAAATTACACTTCCCAGCCTCCCTGTAGGTAGACAGTTACCTCTGACCAGTTAAAAGTGAGTGGAAATAGTATGTGTCACTCTCAGACTGGGCCAGTGACCAACCCATTTCCTTTGCCATGGCATTGTAGAGAAGGCCTCAGGTGACATGGTGGGGCGACAAGATCAAAGAGGCCTTGATTTCTGAGTGACCACATGGAGGTCAGCTGGACCCTCAGTGGACTTTGCGTGATCAAAAAATATAAACTTTTACTCTGTTAAGCTGCTGAGATTGTGTGTGTGGTTGTTAAGCCACTGAGATCTTGGGGGAGGGGGATATGTATGTTTAACCACAGCAGAGCCTAGCTTATCCTGAGTGAAAATTTAGTATTAAACAACTGGCTTTTACAGGCAAACGGAGAAAAAGAATCATCTGCTTGAGAAGAGCTTCTATATCTTCTAATAAGTCAAACTAGAAAAATTATTAAAAATTAAAAAATTTAAAAATAAAGCTTTTGTTTTTATTTTGATGGAATTAGGAGAATTTGAATATCTTTGTAGCATGAGAGTAAAAATGGAATGTGACTTTTTGAATTATTGGCTGATTCTGGCTAAAGGACTTAATCACTTCCATTGTTTGACTGCAGGTACTACTTCAAAATGAAAAAGTTGACAGGATTTGTATAAATCAATTCTTAGGTGGTTCTGATTGGGCAATGTTACAGGACAGAAAATGGCTGTCTAGTTTGTGATATGAATTTAAAGGAAGCCAGGACACTCAGGGTAAAAGCCATGATGTCATGTTTGGCTTGTTCTTTCCATTGCAGTTTTTTACAGCAGCTTTATTTTTATTTTCCATTTGCAGCTTTATTTTTTACAGCACTTGCAGGTTCACAACAAAATTGAGCACAAGGTACAGTGATTTTTCCATATACTTTCTGCTCCCCATATACGACCAGCCTTCCCGCTCTCAAAATCCTACACTAGGGTGGATATTTGTTACAATCAGTGACCACACAATGACACGATATTATTACTCAAAGACCAAAGATCATGGTTTATGTTAGGGTTCACACTTGGTGTTGCACATTCTGTGGATTTGGACAAATATATAATGACATGCATCCACCATTATAGTATCATATAGAGTTGTTTCACTGCCCTAAGAATCATCTGTGCTTCTCCATCCCTAACCCCTGGCAACTACTGAATTTAGTATCTCTAGTTTTGCCTTTTTTAAGAAGTCATATAGTTGGAATCATACAGTATGTGGTCTTTTCAGATTCCTTTACAGTTTTAAATGTAAGAATAAATTTGTGCTGTTCGTTCTCTAAGGTTTTTGTGTAACAACATTTCCTTTTCAGTGAGAAATTTCTACTTATAAGCTATGAAATCTTTTTTTTACTTTGGAAAATGGTTTAGGAAAGCCAATTAGAGTGAAAATTTTGATAAAAGTATTAACAACTAATTTGCTTTATTTCAACATTGAGTTTTGTGGAATAAATATTTGGCTAGATTCCTAGTTCTCCTACCTAAGGGCTTCCAGAGAATCTACCAAATATATCTCAGTATTATTTGGAAAAAAGGACTCAATCCAAACACAAGGAAAAACTAATACCTAAAGTTTGCCATATCTTCATTTCAAATTAACCAAAGTTAGTTCATGAGGTTGTAGAAAGGAAATCATTTGAGTTTATAAAACTATTAAAAATGGTTAAAGAATCATTAGAATATTAGAATATCTCTAGAATAAGATAGCCTTTAATCTTGACTTTACATACCTTAAAAAATAAAGTCCTAACTAGTTCTCTGTTCTACAAAGATATCTTTCATCTCTTCTGAGACCAGGTTCCAATGAACAGAAGGCATCACTGTTTTGCTCTTTTGTACCATTAGCAGTGGTTAGTGACACAGGCAAAGAGGCTATCCCGTTACAAGATACACTGAAAACATAAACACGGGTATTTTTGTGCCAGCTGCTGGACCGTCAGAACTGATGCCGTGTTGTTCTGTCTATGACAATGACATTATGCAAGTCATTGATTTCCTAAGAATACTCTAATGAAAAACTTGATCACATTTAATTGTGGACTGCCTCCAGGGTGATAAGGAAAGGGGAGCTAGGCTCAGCTGAGACTGAACTGTGATGAAGCGATTTACACATTACCTGATGGTCACACAGCAAGTTAGTCTTCAGTCTGCTCCTTCAGCCCTTCCCCATGATATACTGCAAC